AAAACTACTGCAGTGTTTAACAAAAAGGAGCTGTAACTAAAAAGAATTAGCCATTACAAAACATGGAGGCACTTGGCATGGCACTCAGATAGTACTTCACCTAAGTGTCTTTTAGGAGGCAGAGAAAGAAAAGTGTTATTCCGAATCAGTTATGGACAAAGGGGAAAGGCAAGTGACCTGCAGTGTTGTGCCAGTTCTGTGGAAGTAATTGTGATCCCCTGACTTCAACCAACACATTTTAATGTGCATAGTAAGCCACAGGTGAGTTTGATAGCCAGCTCTTAATATCGCAGTTGTGCTTTGGAAGCCGTGAGCTTAGATACTTGGAAGTGCTGGCTTTGAAGATGATCAATAATACCTTTTCTTCCTTCTATTAAATCTTTGTAGTAGCACCATTTGTCAAAGTCATAAAGTGAGCTAGACCAGAGAACTGATTTAGCTGAAGTAAGTCATATGAGGAGCAGCTGAGGGAGCTGGGCTTTAGCCTGGAGAAAACGAGGCTCGGGGGAGACCTTATCACTCCATACAACTACCTGAAAGGTGGGGGTCGGCCTTTTCTCCCAGGCAACAAGTGATAGGATGAGAGGACGTAGCCTCAAGCTGTATTAGGGGGGGGTTCAGGTTCGACATCGGGCAGAATGTCTTCATAGTAGGGTTGTTAAGCATTGGAATAGACTGCCCAGGGATGGTAGAGTCACCATCCCTAGAAGTGTTCAAAAAATGACTGGACGTGGCACTTTGTCTAGTTGACAAGAGGGTGATCAGTCACAGGTTGGACTCGATCTTGGAGGTCTTTTCCAACCTAAATGATTCTTTGATTCTGTGAAAAAATTAATTAAATATTTTCACCTTATGTTACATATAAAACTAAAAGATAAACAGGTTCTTGCAACTATGACCTAAGTATTGGAATTCTGTGATTTATATCATGCAATATACTTGGATCTTACAGGTACTATGCAAGTCTTAGCACAAGTTCATATATGCTGAATTATGTATTTTGTCTTAGAATATTACCATCTCTCATTTGAGGGGGTACCATGCAAGACTTAGGAAAACTATGCACACTTTACACTTATTTAAAAATTGCTTTTTAACCAGGAGATACGCTCCTAGCAATTCAAGCACCTTGTGGTACACAGTTAGAAGTACCTACACCTGAAATGGTATGTACTGGTTTCTTGTTTACCTAAGTGTTCTAGAGGAACAGTGGAAAAGAGCTATCTTAGAGTGGAGGATTTATCTCTGTCCATGTGCAAGAGGAGGGGGGAAATGATTAGGATTGTTTCGGTTGAGAAGGGAGAGGCCAGATGGGAAAAAGTGGGGTTTGTACACCCCTATGGTAACTGTCTTCTATTAAAACCAAGATACATTAGTGGGGTTTTCTTACCATTTCTTCTTCTTTTTTTTTTTAAATGTTGCAACTTTCCAAATTGTGCATAATTGTCATGAATTCCCTTGAGAATTCATGGATAGAGGCTTTTATCTGTCAAGTTTCTCCTTTACATTGTTAAAACGGATCTTTTACAAAAAAGCCTTTTAGATTCAGTGGTAGGTTTAGTTTAGATTTAGTCTCATGGTAGTAGACTAGATAGAGAAACAGACTGCAGTCTCGCTTTAGCCAAAAGACTTAAATGGGTAAGATTAAAGTAGGAGGCCAAATTATTTACCTCTGTCCATCTTTATTTTTTTTTGTTGTTGCAGTGCTCAGTTTTAAATAGCGTTTACATAGTTGGGAGAGATCATTGTATGAAGCACGATAGCCACTGTGCTTGTAGAAGGCTGAAATTCACCTGAGAAGTTTCACAAGCTATTTTTAGTGAGGCTAAGCACAGTCTAATATCGTAAAAGCATGCCAAGCTAGAGCCATGAAGCTGATCAGTGGTACTATCTTTGTCCGTCTCTGCCGAAATCAGTTCAGGCAATGGTAAGGTTCTCTGCAGGACCCAAGTTAGCAGCTGTGATGTTGGGCTTTTTTTTTTTTTTTTTTTTGTCAAGGACCAAAACAGCTGAACTTAGTCTTCATCACCTTGTACAGTGTTGAGTTCTCAAGGAACAGTAACTTTCATAATACACCACCTTTACAGGGACAGAATGGACAGAAGAAATACCAGATCAATCTTAAAAGTAGTTCAGGACCTATCCATGTGCTGCTTATAAATAAAGAATCAAGCTCCTCCAAGCCCACGGTGTTTCCGGTTCCTCCGCCCGATGACCTTGCACAGCCCTCATCTCAACCTGCAGCTCCAGCGACTCCACTTAAACCCACTACAGCTCCCCCAAATCCACCAGAACATGACCTGAACCAAGGACGAGAGTTACCACAAACACCAGCTGCGGACACACGATCAGGTGGATCCAGGGGTTTTCCTACCTCCAACGGGGTGGGGAGGAAGGCAGCTAGAGGGAAAGAAGAAACTGTTAGGAAAGGTGATAGACAAAGGAAAGTTCAAGAATTTGCACAGCATAGCAGCTGTCTGTTGACAAACTTCTCCAAGGGCTTACTAACAGCCCTCAGGAGGTTACAGAGACCCCTCTTCCTCTTCTGTCCGGTGAAACACATTCTTCCCTCATAGCTTATCATCTTATACTGAACAGGTTTGGGATGTAATCCTGTTGCTTATTCTGAGGTGCTTCTCCAGAATGCAGTATGGAGCAAAATTGCAAGCCTCTGATGGAGGATATTATTTGAAACATGTACCTTTTAATGAGACTGATAATACAGGCATCAGTTCCAGCTTTTGTGCCACAATGTCATTTACCTTCTTCCACACAGAGTGAGAGACTGCCTGAATATCAGGTATTTTTTTCATAGTAATGGTAGGGTAATAGGAAAAGATGTGAGAAAATGCTGTGAGTGGTACAATTGCATTTCTGAGGGTCCTGATTAACCTTTATTATCTTTTAATTAATTAACTAATTAACTTGTGCCTGTGGAAGGGGGAGACTCCTCGCACCTGATCCCGGACACTGGCCATGTTCCCAAAGACAAAACTGGGTGCAGATGCTTTGTGTTCCATGTCTCCATAACATGCCTTTCTGTCCGCAGATGGCAGCGTGCAGCGGGACAGCGCGGCCCCTGCAGCCCCCTACTCCAACCTTCCGGAGCTGGCGCTGTACCCCAGCCTTTCAGGAGACGGTGCCCAAGCCTCAGCCATCTCCAGTGACTACCAGGGCTTGCTGCCTCTGGATGTCAACTGTATTCTCAAGCCAAACTCATTTGACATTGCAAAGATGGAAGAGCCCACAGGTAGGGAGCAGTAGTTCCTGTTTGAATGTTTATACTGGTTTCCTGAGCCCTTCTTTGTGACCAAGTTACCAATGAGTTACAGGCAAAATGACAGGCCTCTGTTTATCTCCTGGTGAAGCCACTGAGCCAGCTCTCAGTAGCAAACTCATTTTGAGCAAATGAGTTTCTCTGCCACCAAGTAAGCATCATGTTGTATATGGCTCTAGGGTTATAAGAGATCAGTGGAAGAAGTCTAGTGTGTGGGGGGGGAACTGAGGGATACAAAGATAAATATATTTTACATGTACATGGCATGCTATGTCTGCAGCTCCTACAGTGCATGAGCCACACTGTTCTTTGCAGTTCAGTATTTTACTGCAGATAATATGTGTTGACTTCTATAAACACGTATTAAAAAACCCCCACATATATAAAGCATGTGCTCCTGTCTTTCACAGGAAATATCAGTGGGGATATTATTGATGAACTCATGTCTTCTGACGGTAAGTATTTAGCATCTTTTCTAATAATCACAAGTGTAGCATGGGTTTTGTGTGAACAGCACTTAGGAGGCATATGTTAAATCTGATGACAAGACTCAGTATGAAACTACTTCTTTTCCCTGTATTGCCTCCTCTGTCATTCTTGTCTTTGCTCCCCTTTCTATTCCTTGCAACAGTTTAACCGTCAAAATATGAAAACCTTAATCCAACAAGCACTTACATGCATGAATAACCCACCAGTCCTTAATTCAGGGACAAATAAAGAACAGGCTGATGACTAGTGTGCTGCCTTAAAAAAAAAAAAACTTAAAAAAAATCTGTTTTAATTCTTTTCTGCCTCAGGCTTCCTGCAGGTGCTTTAAATAAATATTTCAGAACATAGTTACATGCCTGTGTGCAGAGTGATACGTGGCTTGCTGCGGGTACACTAATAGAACAAACGTTACCCATTTCTGCTGTTGCACCTCAGTGGCCATAAGAGTGCAGCACTGAACCACAGCTGCTAAGTTCATGTGCTCCTGCCTCTCTGCTCAGTCTCTCTGAGGTGCCAGGCAAAGAGGTGAGCTCAGCTGGTGTTGTTCCTTTTGCCCTGTGCTCTGTAAGCAGCCTGTGCTAATATCTGCCCTCCAAGCAGACAGCCTCAGCTCCTGCAGAAAGAGATGTGTAATTGTAAGATATGAGGTACAAGATGGGATTCTGTGAATGTGCCAATATATGGTCAAAATGCAAACAGCCTCCGCTTCTAGGGCAGGTACAGCATGCCCAGCTCATCTACACTATGTTAGAGTTCCTGCGGTGCCGCATGAGAGCTGAGGCTTCTCTTCTTGCATTCCCGCCACAAAGACAGCTTCAAGTCCATGCTTGAAATGCAGTGCACAGAAAAACTGCTAGCCTTCATTTCCCCTCTGTAAAATAGGGATAATAGTAACTTCCTGACTTATTTGAAGGCAGATATATGCAATATTGTAACAAGAAAAAGGAATATAAATTATGGCTTTCTCATGAAAGTTTTCAAAAGCTGCTCAGGAGCTCTTTGGCTGCAGGAGAAATTAAACCCATATTCCACAGTTGTCGCTCTATTTCAGCAAACTCAGTTAAAACACCAAGCAAAAAATGGTAGATAGGTCACTTACTGCCTTAGTTTGAATGCAGTACAGATATTCACAATATGCATCCTAGCGTGCTTTTCAGATTATCAAGACTATTTTAATTATGAAGACTAACCTTTGTACTGGTGATGACAAACATACTGAATGATGAGATAGGGCTGATATTCCAAAAGTGTTTTAATTTAAACTAAACTATTCCTGCTTTACAGTTTTTCCTCTCTTACGACTCTCTCCTACTCCCGGAGATGACTACAACTTTAACCTGGATGATAATGAAGGAGTCTGTGATCTCTTTGATGTGCAGATACTAAATTATTAGATATTGTGTCAACCAGACTACTTATCTACCTCTAACTATAACATTCTAGACTTCTTCATAACCTAAGTATTTGAATAATGAATGTATAACTTCTTAGTTCACTGACTCTGGGAGTATATTTCCTTTTGCTTCCTTTAACTACTTCACAAAACAAATTTGAGAACAAGAAAAAAGGGCTCTTATCAAAAATTCTGGCACTTTTTCACCCAAGTGTTCTCTGTGTAATCCAATTATTTGAAGTTTTCTTTAGTAAGAAAAGCAAAAATACTTTTTAGCCTTTGATCATTTTCTAAAAAATGATTAGGCTTCTTGCTCACAGTTAACAGCGTTTTCTTTGAAGCTTTACTGCCAAGAAGCTTTGTATATTCTTTTTTAACCTTTCAAACAGTTTTGAAGCTTTCACTGCCAAGTTGAAAAGTGAAGGGTATCACCTTGAGTTATGCTAAATTGTTTCAGTGAACCAATTTTGTGAAGTGCCTTCTGTTTTAGCACTTTAAGTTTCTCACACTGACTTCTGACATTCCACTTTCCTAGATGACAGGAAAGGTCTGTTTGTAGTTTGTATTAAAGTGTGCCAATACTTGTATATTAACAAGATTTTTTTTAATAAAATTCTTCAAACAAACCCATCAGTGTTTGTGATCTTTCATTTCTTGCAATCCCTTCATTGTCCATTTTACATTACAACTGAGATAATAGGTTTGTAGCAGCATCCACATTTGCTGGTTCCTCTTCCAGATTTGTGGAAACCTGAAAAAAAAAGTTTCAGTTTAAAGTAGAAAGCAATTTGTTTTTACTCTGCTTGAAAAAACCCCAAACTAATAAATACCCATTGTCTAGAAGATTAGTTTGTCTTTTATATATTTAATTTAGGCTAATTTTGCAGTCATACTTCAATAATTTGGGGGGATTACAGGATTCACTAAACTTAACAGATAAGCTGACAATGCTTTATGCAGGAGAAATACAAAGTGTCATGCCAGTAACAACATACATGGCACAGAGACAAGCTCACCTTTTAGTTCAGAACTGCTCTTGACATTTTTACAACTTTGGAGAAAATACTGTTACAGCCTGGGTCATCAAACTAGGCATTGTCATGTACAGCCCTACTAGCACAGGAGCAGCAGTACAGTCTGAATTCTTGGAGGAATAAATAACAAGCCAGCAGGGACAGGGCCACTGGCACCAACTGCCTTGAAATCCTTGCTCAGCCTCATCCTGTACTGACAGCACTGTCACTTATGTTTCATTTTTCCCTCAGCCTCTTCTTAACGTATTTGACACTTGTTTCGTCACTCACAGCCATACAGAAATCTGATCAGGAAGTACAGAAATCAGGCACAGGAAGTAATAGTGAACTCATGTCCACATCTCCAAACAGCTCCTCCTTCTGACAGCCAGCATGGATTCATCTGTACCTCATTCTGGCCTTCTGCTTTCTCTCTCCCCAAAACTGCCCAGAGCATCAGAAGGAGTCAGCATAAAGAGTTTATATGGAGGAACTTGTCAGGAATTAAACTCTGTAAATTAATTCTTGTGTAAGATTGCATGTAGCCCTGTATAAAAAACTAAACAAAGGAAGGCAAGTGAAACACTGTCTTGAACCCTAAGCACTGCAGGCAAAACCTCTAGTACAGAAATTGCTGGTTTAGGTGTTGGTACTTCTGATGAGGGAACATGAAGGCCTAGGCATCAGGAACAGAGAGAGACAGCTGTCTGTTCCAAAGCCCTGTCTGGTGCTTCAGGTTGGGAACATCCAGGTTCGTCCTCTCAGTGTCTATTCATGGGGAGACATAAGTCTCAAATCAAAGAGCTGGGACTAACTTTAAAAAAATAATTTAAAACCAGCTGGAATAATTTAAAACTATGTTTTGGAAGCGTGCTTCAGCTTGGCTGCCCACCCTCTTCTCTCTCTAGTAGTTACATAGCATTTGAACATGCTAACCAGGTTTCAGCATTACCACACAAATGAAATTAATAAAACTGGGTTTATAGCTTTAAAGCAACTGCACAAATTGCCTCCAGTCTTAAAGCCAGAATATAATGCTTTAAAAACACACATATTCCTTTCAGTCTCCTCAGATTTTTACAAAGGGAAATTACCTGTTGAGTCTTCTGAGGTTCTGCTGAGGTGCCTTTCGATAGCTGCTGCACTTCTTTCTGAACTTCAGCAAATGCTTTATTTATTGCACTAACTTTTTCAGCATTTTTAATGTTTATCTGGGAGGGAAAAAAATACACATATTGGTATTTTTAACAAAAATTCCACCGACATGTGAAATTGCACCATTTTTCTTCAAGTATTATGCAGACAGTATTATATTTCTGTCTTCCAGTATTGCTCTTCAGTATGTGTATCTGTTACTTAATTAGGCCACCTAGTCCTGCACTAATAAATTTAAAAGGGAGAAAGTACTTAAACTTATTCTATTGGAATGGGAGCCCACAATGATCCAGAAACGGAACACAGAGAAAACAAAAGCCAGGCTGTAGACAGGCCCTGCTATATTATATATAAATTGTCTCTGCTGCTCTTTCCTCCTCAGTGGGAGGACTCCTCACACTCTGCCCTTGGTCCAACGTGAGGTCCCTCCTATGGGAGACACTCCTTCATGCCCTTGTCCAGTGTGAGTCCTTCCCACAAGCTCCAGTTCTTCACAAACTGCTCCACCATAGGTCCCCTGTGGAGTCCCAAGTCCTGCCAGGAGCCTGCTCCAGCATGGGCTCCTCTCTCCATGGGCCCACAGGTCCTGCTAGGAGCCTGCGACTTCCCACAGGGTCACAGCCTTCTTCAGGCACCCACCTGCTCCAGCATGGGGGCTGCAAATGGATCTCTGCTCCACCATGGACCTCCACGGGCTGCAGGGGCACACCATGGTCTTCCCCACAGGCTGCAAGGGAGTCTCTGCTCTGACATCTAAAGCACCTCCTCCCACCCCTTCTTCACTGACCTTGATGTCTGCAGAGCTGTTTCTCTTACAAATTCCCACTCCCCTGTTCTGACTGCTGCTGGTGTTGCGCAGGTGTCCCCCCCATTTCTTAACTACATTATCCCACAGGCACTGCCAGTCCCTACTGGGCTCGGCCTTGGCCAGCGGTGGGTCCGTCCTGGAGCCGACTGGCATTGGCTCTGTCAGACACAAGGGAAGGTTCTGGCAGCTCCTCACAGAAATCACCCCTGTAGCCCCTCAAACCCAATACAATTTGCAAATGATTTTACCATTTTGAATTTCTTCCAGTAGTTTGCCTTTCAACATCACACCTTGCATCCTACTTGTTGGTCTGGCCAACTCCTACCAGATTTTGCCACATTTTTTTAAAGAAACTCTATGGCTGTAGCAGACCAGGATGTGTATCTCTGGGCATCTCAGCCTCACTTTTAGCCTAAGTCTACCTTATAAGTTATTTAATCAAAGATGCTTGCTTTTAAAGGGGAAGAGCTAAAATATGGACATGTGCTATGCTTTGGAGGCAATTATCCATGGTAGAGGAGCAAGGTGGATGCAAGGGGGCATAAACTCTTTCACCACAGCAGCTGGTCTCACCCCTAGCACCTGTTTCTTTCAATGTCTGGAATCGGATCATAGCTAAGATAATGGCCTTTTACATTGCAAATGTTCCAGAAGCACACTCATAAGTTTTCAGGCAACCCCAAATTTCAGGATACCTACTGTTGCTAAAGGCTAACCCTGTAATTCACCTCTCAGCATTTTACACAGGCAGAAGCAAACCATGCATACTTATTTTGCTTTCAAAGCCTCCATAACTTCAGAGCATGCTTACATTAACAATAATTCCATTTATTCTGAGTGACCAAGAGAACCAGTATTAAGAAAGCAGTGGCAAGAGGCTGATAAAACAGGCCTACTCAGATTGGCACTTTAATCCATAATAACTTGGGACAGTGGCTGTAGAAATACGGACCCAGATCCAATCGGAGGAGGGACTGTGGGTAACACAATCGACAAAGATCTTGGGCTTCCCATCAAGGCTTGTCACCATCTTCCAGCTTCACAGGGGTGTTAAAAGGATCCAGTCAGTTTCAATACCTAATTTCTCAGCTGCTCAGGCAGGACTCCTCCATAGAAAGAGGCTCTATAGCTGGCATAGGTATCTACATCAAAAGTTGTCTGAATAGTTATAATGGGATTTTAGCTATTAAAGAATAAATGTATTTTAACAATTTTTTTTCTGAGCGTCTTCCTATACTGCTTAATAATAAGTAAATCCTATTAAGCCCAAAGGCTTCATGCATTAAAGAATACAGCTTCAAACACAGAGAATAAAATTTTACTCCTAATAAGCTCCTGACTTTTCATGAATATGGTTTTAAACCTGTTTCTCCCTTTGTTATACAGAACACTCTAGACTAAGAGGAGATGCGACGCCAACAACATGAAATTGTTATTTCCAAAGTTTGTTAAATTCCTGTCTGTTCACCAGATTAATTTGTCAAGTGGCTTTGGTTCGCAGGAGGAAATCAGAAACAGCCTTTCTTAAGAGCTGTTTAGCTCTGTTTGTCCAGCAGACTGAAACTGCATCGAACAGGAACATTAGGCCACTAAACGTTCTGCTTTTATTACTTTTATTATCTGACGCCTTCCTAGAGGGACAGCTGAACTCTCAGAACACGCATCTCAGGCTGGAGGCAGGGTTTGAGGAGAAGATACCATATAATGACTCACTGCTACCAATAGGAAAACTCTTTCTTAGACACCCCCCCATTCCCTCTTCCCCTGCATCGCTCCCAGCTCTGCGACCCACTCTCTCCCTCCTCTGGGCTGTGCTCCTCTCCAGACATGAAAATGACAGAATAATATTTTTGCTTCTTTACTTTTTCATTGCTTTAGTGTGTTAACTCACAGAAGCATCTGCAGAGCATCTGCAGCCCATCTAAGCTGCAAGAAGAAGTCAAAGAGGAATTAAGAGCAAAACATACAACAGTGTGTGTTCCTAGATCTGTTCACTGCATCTCACTGACACGGTTTTACTTGACAGTTGAGGCAAATAAACAGCTACTGGATCAGAAGAAGCTCCATCCTTTCTAGTTCTCCCACACCAAAATGTTTCTCTTTGCACTCATTCATAAATAAGCTTGTTCAACTCACCAACCCAGCCCATAAAAATCCAAACCGCATTTTTAATTGCTTTTGCTGCTGATTTAGCAAGTTTAATCACCTAGCAGGTGATGAGTTTCCGAGCTAGCATCAAGGAGAGCTGTGGAAACAGAGCCCAGAGCCTGGGGCTGGGCTTGGGAACATGATGGAAAGGAGCAGGACGTGCTGCTAATACGGCCCAGTGAACGTGAACTCACTGAACTGCTGATGCTCCCTTTAGCATCGCATTCTCTAGGACACGCCGAGATGCCATCAGACATTTCCCAAATAACACCTGTCAGGAAGAACCACTTGAAATCTTCTCTGGCAGATGCTGCAGATCAGTCAGATAAACTCCCTGCTCTTCTCTTTTTGCAGATTATGACATCCACATATAAACCTGATTTAGGGTGAAAACCGTGCGCTTTGCCACTCTGCCCGGACGCACGCTGTCCCTAAAACAGCTCGATTTAATCAGTCCCGATTTAATCAGTCCCGAGAACTTTCCCCGCCCCGCAGCGAGGCCTAAGAGGAGCAAATCCCGCGGGGCCGAGGCCTCAGGCAGCGGGACCGGGCCCTCCCCCCGCGGTGGGACGGCACCTCCGCGCCACTCACCTGCTTCAGCGCGGAGGTGACGGGCCTCGCCTTGCCCTTGGCCTTGGCCCTGAGGGCTCCACTGCGGGCGATGCGGAAGACGCTGCCGGCCTTGGCGGCCCCGCCGCGACTCTTCGCCATGGCGGCGGCTCCGGTGGGCGGGCGGTGACGTCACACCCGGGGCGTGACGTCGGAAAGCCGCCAATCCCCCCAGCGCTGCCAGCGGGGGGCGCAGCGCCGTGCGCGGCCGCCAGGGGGCGAGCGCCGCCTCGGGCGGGCACCGCGGGAGCGGCGGTGCCTTTTCCCTGTCCCTTCCACTTCCCTGTTCCATTCCTTCCCCTTCTCTGTCCCTTACCTGCCCCTTCCCCTGCCCTTTCCCGGCCCAGCACGGCCCCGTCCTCGGCCCTGGTCCCGGCCCCGCCTGCCGCTCCCGCGCTTTCCCAGCCATGTTTCTCAGCACGGAAAGGCTGAGAGCTCCGTGCGGCGCGCCCGCCGCCGGCTGAGCGCCGAGTCCCGAGCACCGCGTTGCCCAAAGCACGTGCCCGTGGGCAGCACCCGGGGCGATGGTATATAAGAATAAATGCCCAGTGGGTTGTGGGGACACCTTCCTGCCTCCACGGGCCCCGCTTGGGAAAACGTGGAATCTTTCTACGGCCGGTTCCAAAGGGAATTGGGTTCGCTCCCCTGGGAGTAAGGCGGGAGAGGATGCAGCAGTGCGCACTTCGCTTTACTTTCGGGAGGAGCGGGGGTGACCCCAGGAGTGGAAACAACTTTCCCATCTTTTCTCTTCGCACAACTCGTGCTGTAGTGGGACGGGGACTGGCGGAGGGAAAGCACCTTCCCTCTGTTAGAGCGGGCCCTGGAGAGATGGCACTGCAGTCCCGGGCGGCCCCGACGGTGCTGGGCGCACGCTGGGCGGTGGAGGGCTTGGACCGAAAGCAGGCACGGACGGGCCGGGAGCCGAAGCGCCGCAGGCTCCTTATCAGCGCCCGAGGATCGGGGCGTCGCCGCCCGTCGCCTTCAAATCGGGCGCAGCCGCCTCTCCCGTCCCAGCCCGTCCCATCCCGTCCTGTCCCATCCCGTCCCGTCCGTCCTGTGCCGGCAGGAGAGCAGAGCCATGCTGCACTGGGGATACGACGAGCACAACGGTAGGGGAGCGGCAGGCGGGGGGTCGTCGGGGCGGCCGGCGGGGTCCCCCCGAGGGCACCTCCCGCCGCCGGGCTCGGCAGCTCCCGCGCCCGCGGGAAAGCTGGATGAGCTGAGATGCAGTCGAGGCTTTGCAGCTTGAGAACGAGCAGATTTTTGTCTCGGCATTCTGCAAGGCAGGCGGCTGAGAGAGGTGTCCGTGCGTGAGGCATCGCCTGCAGAGTCGGGCCGGGGCTTGGCTCGAGTCGGGTCTGTCGCGTTCCCGGTCGCGATTTCGTTTGCTCGTGTACATGAACAGTTGCGTGTGCACATCGAGTACTTGTTGAACAGTCACACTGATCGGAGCTGCTGTATCGGCAGTGCCTTTCTGATTCCAGCTGTTTTCTGCTTCTGTTACACGGTGGGAAATCTTGATTACTAGAATTGGTCATTTAAATGTATAACTATGCACCTAAGAGGAGATGCTTTTGGATTTTAGTTGTTCCATGATTTCCTTAATCTTGCCGGTCTTTGAAGTCCCAAGATGTGCTCATCAGCTGGCTTAAAGACTTTGTTCTGGTTTGCATTTTAAGTCATGCAAACGCTGCTCCTGTGTGCAGACGGTCTCACAAGTCATGCAAGTAGAAGTGGAGGTGATTTTGAAAATTGGAGGCTCGGCTCTGACAAAATACATGGAATAACTTGTATTGTCTGTACACAGTGAAATAAGACACCATGACAGTAAAAGGAGACAGCTATATATTTGCATATACTAATGCCTGTAAGAATATATAGATTTCAGAATACTGTTTGTGCAAGTACTACCTTTCCTTTCTGGCCCTCTTGTTCCATCTTTTCTGGATGGATGTACTTTTCCTGAAAAACTGGGTGGTGGTGGATCACAGTGATGTTGCAATGATTAGGTGTGTTATCTGCTGTTATGCAGTCTGCTCTACCCCTCCCCTGAAGACGTAAATGGGTCTTGTTTTTCAAATTTGTTTCTCCATATGTTTCCATGCTGTGAGCTTCACCTGCACAGTCCAGATAAGAAGCCCACTCTCCCTGCCTTATCCTATCTCTCCTTGTTTGCTATTCTCAACTTCTAGAGAGGGGAGGCCACCAGAGCTTCTATAGGGGTGGCCCTGGACCTTGCTTGGGGCCCAGTTTCTCCTATAACACTGTTTACTGGCTGATAACGTATTCAAGATGGAGTTTGCCTTTCACTCTCTCCTCTTTTGGAGCCCCCAGCAGCTGTGAGGTGGGTAGTTCCTCATCAGTCCACCCCCTTTCCCCTGCCTCTCACAGGGAACTAAAGGAGAGAGGCATAAAATAAGTTCCCTGAAACTCGGATCAACTTTTGCAACTCATGAGGCAGAAAAAAGTGAAATTGGTTAAATCTGGTGCACTTATATCTATAGTTGACTGCCTGCAGAGTTGAAAAGACATCTGTGTTCCCTCTGAGTTCTGCATTTGTTACTTGCAACAGTCGCAACATAAATCATTACATGTATAAAGTAAACTGTCAGATATTACATATACATGTCTGCCTATATGGTATATCTATATATAGGGCATGGGCCCACTGTTACAGACAGAATTAAAAGTTTTGGTGATTGACCCTGGCAAGATGCCAGGTGTTCACCAAAGCAACTCTATCACTCTTGTCCTCAGCTGGACAGGGGAGCGAAAATAGACTGAAAGGCTTGTGGGTCGAGATAAGGACAGGGAGAGATCACTCACCACTTACCATCATGGGCAGAACAGACTCAGCTGGGGGCAATTAGTTTTATTTGTTGCCTATCAAATCAGAGTAGGGTAATGAGAAAATAAAACTAAATCTTTAAAACAACTTCCCTCCACCCCTCCCTTTATTCCAGGCTCAGCTTCACTCTTGATTTTCTCTACATCCTCCCCCCCAGCAGTGCAGGAGACAGGGAGTGGGGGCTGCAGTCAGTTCATCACATGTCTCTGCCTCTCCTTCCTCCTCAGCGGGAGGACTCCTCACACTCTGCCCCTGCTGCAGCGTGGGGTCCCATGGAGAGAAGCCCACTACGGACTTCTCCAATGTGAATTCTTCCCACAGGCTGCAGTTCTTCACAAACTGCTCCAGCATGACTACCCCGTGGGAAAGCTTCTACGGCTGCTCACAGAAGCCACCCTTGTAGCCTCCCCGTTTGCCATATAGAAGTTCTTGGTTGCTTTGATGCATGTATTTCTGAAATGCAACAAGACATCATTTTATTTCTATGAAAACCTTGACCTTTGTTTTCTTGCCACTTTTCTTCCCTCATACCTTATTGTGCTTATCTATAGAGGCACAATATTGAAATCTTGAAAACTGGCTCCATTGTGGCATCATTAATGGTTTTCACTGCTGCTCAAGGTTCCTGTCAAGAGGGGAATGTTCTCACCCTTCACAGGAACAGTCCTTTTTGTTTACTGGGGAATTCCCTTAGTTAAAAGGCAAATCACAGAATCACAGAATGAGTAAGGTTGGAAGGAACCACAGTGGGAAGTCAATTGCCTTCTGTTTACTATTTGTTTAATGAAATATATGGAAAATACTTACATGTATTGTCTTTTACTGCAAAAAATTTCTCTTGATCTAGTTACTACTGTAACAGTGACACATTTTATAAATAAAAGGGATATGATTCATAGAGCCACAGAGAATCATTTAGGCTGGAAAAGACCTTTAAGATACTTGAGTCCAACTATAAATCCTTATAGATTTCTTTTCTCTGAGAATCATTACATCATTTTGATAACTACTTTAAAAAATGCACTTATTTTACCCATTACTATTTTTAATGATTTTTATTTGAGCTAATCTTATTGTAACCTAATATGCAACTAAATTACTTGCAAACCTAACTTTATAAATTTAAGCACTTTGTGTATGATGATAAACTGGGCAATGGATTCTCTTTAGGAATAAATAAGGATGTGATCCTGTCAAGGTCAGACCATAGTAAAATAATACACTTTCTATATGTAATAGCAAACTCTTAAAAAAAAAATGCACTTTTTCACCTGTACGTGCTCTATTTATGCACATATAGAGGCTCCCTGGAACTGAGCTGTGTCCTGCAGTGTCTTCACTGGGCTCGTCTCAAGTTAGTCTATCCTTTTGATAAAATTCATTATCTTTAACTGCAGTTGGAGAAAAACACAACATTGTCAGGTGCCACAATTTCCTGGCAAATTCCTAACTACCTTCATTATGAGATCTGTGTCATGAACTGAATTTGTGCAGTGCTGGTGAGTGGTATATGCAGTAATAGTCTGACCTAAAAGTGTCAGAGGTGTGCATTGCATTTGGTAATGCTGTGTCCAAAATAAAGGCATGGAATCTTCAGAGCGAATGGTTTGGGGTTTTGTCATAAATCTTGGTCACAATGGCTTTGATTGTTAAGAGCTACTATGTAATCGCCTCTAGCAACAGAACACTTTCCCAACAAAAAGAGAGCATATAATAAGTTCAAAAATTGGTATATTAATCATTTTCCTTCAGTAAATGAAAAAATCAAGGGAGGTGAGTAGTGAGTTTACTGTCCTGGATATGTCTTAAAGTACATATTTATAAAACTAAAGTGTACATTATGTAAATATGAAGGCACCTAGTTCAGGTCCAAATTCAGAAGAAATTTTCACCCTGGAGACCCCGTTGCTTAAATCCAATTGTATGACATGCATTTGAGCATTTCTTCCAATTGTGATGACTTTTTTCAACAGTCATATCCAGAGGTTGTGGTGGGGTAGGGTCTGTAGTAATGAACTGAGTCACAGTTTTCCTAGAGTGGCAAGAGTATAATAATTGTATTAGATTGCTGATAGATTATCTAGTAAGAAATACTGCTTGATATGACCTGGTGGTACAAAATGAGCTGAAGTTTCCTGATATTTTTCTGTATATTTTAAAAGATCATATTTCTGGTAGTCTTGTTTACTGATAGACGTTTAATCAGCATAGCAAAACAGTATTTTGGTCATCTGAGCCAAGAACAAGTACAAAAACAACTACCATGCCTTTTT